TAGGTTAGTTTAAATAGTATGTAGGTATCTCATTTCGAGCGAGAAAATTGTAGTCATGAATTTAAAATTAAAAAGTACCTTCCATCCCATCCCTTCCAAACCAATCCTCAAATGCTAAGTTAAAAAAAAACACCATCGTTATGTGATTGGCATAACTCAATCCATATGAATTATTTTGTACCCATTTCCATTCCCACTCCACTGAAAATCCCCTTCCCTTCATTTCCAGATTTCGATATCTTCCAGTATTGCAAAGAATTCGATGCGCAGTCAAGAATTATAGATTGATGATCCGTCGGAAGATACTAGGTATTTCTTCACATCCATGAACTATGCGAGGGGATAAATGCAAAGTGGAGATTCTTGTTTCTTTCAAATGGAGATCTTACAAGATGTAAGCAGCAACACCGAGGAGACCAGCAAGGCTGGCACCAGAGAGTGCGATGGCGCGGTTTCCGTTGTTGGAGACAACGATTGGTGCAGTGGTGGAAGCAGATGGGCTGGATCCGGCTGGGGCAGAAGTGGTACCGACGGATCCCTTGCTGGTGGTAACGCCACCGGTTGCTGCTGGTGCAGTGTTGTTACCCCAGGCTGGAGCAGAGCTGATGGCAGCAGAGCTGACTGGAGCAGTTGGGGCGGCAGTGCTAGAAGATGTTAGAATTGCGAAGATTTCATTTTCTGCGTAATGGATATACATACCAGGTGTTGCAGATGACGGAAGAGGTGGTGTAGACTGGCTTGGAGATTGTACATGGGCAGTTGGTGATGGTGACGGTCTCACTCTGTGAAGCGCATTAGTATTTTGTGATGTAGTAACTCAATCTTGAAACGAAGAAATGGTAGATCGCGTGGCTTGATTCCTACGAATTGACCGCGCACAACTACCATGCATTCATGTTTCGGATGGGGAAAAGTACCTCGGTGGCAGTGTAGGTTACACCGTTGAAGGAGAAACTGGTTGCAGCTGGGCAAACGGTGACGAAAGAGGTAACAACGTCAGTAACCCAGACAGCGGCGATGCTGGAATTTCCGTAGGCTGAAGCGGAGACTGCGAGAGCAGAGATCATGGCGACGGTTGAGAATTGCATCTTGAAAGATTGAGATTGATATTATGAACTAAGTAATTTGGTAGGAGGTAGCGGTTGTTGATTATGGGTGGATTATTTGAGATTTGGATTTGTTTGCAAGAAACGAATGTGAGTGACCAAAAGTCGGGTATGGGGGATTATTGAGTGTGAAGTGTGTTGGGAGTGAATGAGGTAAGTAAGTGAAGAAAGAAGTGAGAGAAGGAGAGAGATTATAATGAGGATCTTATATCGTGAAAGTGGATCATGACCAAGCCAGGACCATGTAACTTTATTATCCCATGTGCCCAGGTATGCTCGGTATGCATCTCGAAATTCTACGAGCGGAAAGAAGTGGGAAAGGATTTTACAAGGACGGAAAATGATCCATCCATTTTGAGCATTATTGGAGAATCATTTGAGAATCATTTGAGAACTTTATCACCGTTTCTCAACTTTATCCGGGGACTAATGCCCGATGGAGTTTAGATCTCGTCCGAACGATGCAGGTACACAGCCAATATCATTGGATCGCTGGCAACATTAATTTACGGAGAGGGACGAATGAGAATGTGTGGTGTCGATCATCATTGGTTCCCATAGATCAGCCAAACACTTTGTACAGGAGGATTGTGGGAAAAATGTAATGACAGTCTAGTCTTGGCAACACTTGGTTAACGGGGCAAGAGAGGGATGTGGTGAGAATGGGTGGTGGTGTTGTCTATGTGTAAAAGGAGAGGGAGAAGGAGAGGGAGAGGAAGAGGGAGAGGGAGAGAAAGAAGTAAAAGAAGAAGAAGAAGAAGAAGAAGAAGAAGGAGAGGATGATTCAATACAAGTTACCTGTCAAAAAACGATAAAAGAAGGTTGTCTATCCATCTGTCATTCTTCACCTGATTCTATTCACAAGCATTTTCCCGGATAACTTCACTTACTTGACCTACTATACATACATGATTTAATCATATCTAGATAATCTCATGATCAAGAAGTAATATCATTAACATCTTCTACTTTTGTTAACTTAGTTTCTCATGGATTATATAATCAATTGGTTCACCAGTCATCAATCATTCATTCATCGTAAAAAATATCTACATCTTCTTTCCTTTCCTATCCTTTCCTTTCCCTTCCAGTAGTGATGTGATGTGATGCGGTTTGCTTGCTTACCGGTACCTTGCCAGTTCTTCGGTCTTGCAGTAGCGTCAGGGGTAAACTTACTTGGTCGACTACTGGTATGCTACAGCCACTACAGCCACTACAGCCACTACAACCACCACAACCACCACAACCACTTCTACCGATCGACTACCACTCCTACCACTCCTATCACTCCTACCACTTCTACCGCCAACTAACATGAGCCAGTTCAAGGTCAGAAACGGTTAGAAACAGTTTCATCATGATGCAAGAATCAAACAAAAAGAATAGAATCCCCAGATAGAGTAGAAATCCATTCCTTGTGACAACGAGACTCATTCGTTACCGCTCAATCGCTCACTCATCAATGCATCTCCACTCACCAAGAAATCAATATTCCAAACTTTATTGTGGAAGTGGATCGATCAAGACTCAATTCTTTTGCCTCTCATCTTCATTACGAGGTGATAATGTACTCCGTATACGAAGTACAATAACAATAATACTTGGCCAGATTCTCTTGCTTCTTTTAATTTACTTTCTTTTGCAGCAAAAAACAACCACCACGACGAGGTTCTCCCGCATTAACCTTGCATTAACATTAATATCACTCTCCTTATCACATCAATTTGCCTTTCCCCACCAATGACTTTTCATAACCGTTGCATCACAAACGCCAGCTTTCCACACCCTGGATCCCACAGATCACAAAGAAAATCCGGGGTGATGGTGGAAACCGAGCAGGAAGGGACTGGTTGGTTGGCTGGTTGGCTGGCTGGCTGGCTGGCTGGCTGATAAGTGTAATTGTTTCTTTCCATCAACCATTCCACAAGAGGGGTCACTTTCTTCTTTCGTCACGAATTCCAAGTTCACATCCAACTTTACAATTAAACTCCAGACACTTCTCTCAATGCTCAGTCCTAATTCTCAATCAGAAATTACATTGTATTAATTGCAATTAGACATTGGAATTTCTCTTCAAAAATCTTCCGAGACACAAATGATAGAATATCTTTTCCTGTTGGAAATCGACCAATGTATCATTTGTTGTACCTGCATACGGCAATCATGCATGATTAGGTGCCGCGGGGAAGGATCTCTTACTGGGAAGATTCATTTACTACTGTAAGGAAAAATCTCTCATGCAGTCAAACAAAGATTTCAAGGATCTTATTCCTCTGGAAAAGAAGACAATCCATGGAAGACTTAAAAATCGGTCCATTCGGAATGTGCCAGGGAAGAATCTATGATGTTCAAGTGACATGGCAATTCACACAATTGCGAAAAGACTTCGGAGTGTACAAACCGAGATCAATTATTCCTGATTTAGTTTACTCCCCGTTGATGCAACAAACCATTTCATTTTCCGACGGGTACGCACTTGATTCTTTGAGATGCTCGTCTTGGTATCCCGTTTCAGCCGCCGACCCGACAAGAGATGCCATATTATGTTCAGGATGGATAATAGTGAAGGCTTTGCCATTACAACGTTGTACAAGATCGACGCGTTGAGAGCAAGGGGTATTTCGGCGTATGCGGAACAATAGGTCCAGATCTTTCGGTATTTTTTCTACTGTTACTATGTTCTGCCTTGTCTGATTTGTCGAATAGAAGAACATCTGGAGCAAGTACTTTTCCGATTGCTATGCTGAGATGTCTATTTTACATGCAAGTACATGTAATATGACTGGCTCATTCTAATGTCCAAATATGTTTGTCTGCTTATTCTTGTCGTTCTTGACATCATTCGCACTCACTTCCCTCTTACGAATGATTGATTTCAGTCAGTCTTCTCTCCCAATCATCCAATCTCCGTTTGATGCACAACATATCCCGTTTGTTATTCTGAAAACGTAGCTTCTGTGTTATGATGGGTTGTTAAGGAAGCAGAAGATCTGCAAACAATATGCAACCAAGTCGGAAAATCAAAACTATCGAATCATATCACAATTTTACGAGTGACTCAATCTTTGTGGAGATGAAATCGAACTTTCAATGGCGTAGGTCTCTCTAACTATTATTCTGCCTTTCCAGATTTACGCCGCGATCTCAACACAAAGCAGCACAGCATAACTTAGCATAACGTAGTAACAAATGACTTCATTATCACTTTCGCTATAGACTTAGCCGTTCGTTTAGATTATGCTTTTGCCTTGGTTTCGGCTCCTCAATCATCACTGTCGATAAATTTGTCCCGTTGTAGACTACTTTGACCAATTTTCTTAACAATATCCCATTACTAACATGTCATTTTCAATCAACTAACTTTTAGCATAACATGATGTCAGCTCTCTTTCATCTACTACGTACCCTCTACACGTTCCATTAATCATCTCATTATCAAAAATATAGAAGTCACCCATGATCAAAACACAACAAAATGATTCTGCCCAAAGATCACGTGGGCGGTAAATTCGAACGTGTTCGATTTTGTTGCATGTCTGAAAAATTGTTCGGTCTTCACTCCTCCATCAATCCTTTTTGAATCCAAAATTTGAAGAATTCCATCGACTGGGAATAAGGATGGCTTTGAGGTTTATTTCCGAGGTGGTGTTTTTGGGGGGGGGGGGGAAGTTGTGGTTGACCAATAAATAATATTCATCGCTCGCTGTTAGTGATCGTTGAGAAAAGTAGTTGGTTCGGTGTGTGTACAGATTGAGGATTGAATTGAAGTGTTAATTGATTTACAACTTTGTTGTTTTGTTTGTGTGTTCGTTTTATTGTTGAATCAATAAATCTCAATTCTTCATTACTTGAAACAATCTTGACATGATGAATTGCCCATAGCTACCTCAGTACCTACAAAAGAAGATACTCCACAATTAATTCATCTTTCCCTCCTCTCTCTCGTAAAAATCGCAGCAACTCTCGGATTCCTTCCGAGTCTGTCTCATTGCTGTCGCCGGCTCCGTAGCGATCGGTGAACTGTTCGTGCGTGGGGAAGGAGGGGTGGAGGATGGTGAGATTTATCTCGCGGGCTTGGCTGGTCTCTTGTTCTTGCTTCCGAATTTGCTCCATGTCTTGTTCTTCTTCTTCTTCTTCTTCTTCCTTCTTTCTTTCATCCTCCGCAGGTAAAACCATGCATCCTCCATCATCGTCCCCAGGAGTCGCAGGATGGAGATGAGCTATGCTGGCAGAGCCGACGATAGGACGCATACGAGTTGTTCTTTCGTTATATTCGGTGGGGATGAGAGGTTCGGGTTTCCAGTGGATGTAGATGGTGATGGGATTGTATTCTTTGTTTTTTGGGAGGGGGGAGAGAGTGGAGAGGGGGGTTCTCGATTGGGTGGGAGGAGGAAGTGAGGAATTGGGGGGGTTGGATGGGTCGGTTTTGGGTTGTTGGGGGTGTGGGTTGTCCTCATCTATCTCGTCCTCGATTTCTCCAACATTCTCATTCCGTTGTATCGGTCGACTCACCGCCATTTCCTCATTTTCCTGATTCTCTCCCACACATTCTCTCACTGGCGGTCTTCCAATTGCCAGCTCTGTTTCCAACCTTTTCCTAGCCTGTCTTAAGATCCTCGCGTCTCTCATCTCTGCATTTTCAGATTCCCCAGGCTTTCCGTCAACGGGATCCTCATAAATCCGAAACTCCCACCTCCTCTTCTGATCTTTCTTATCCCTCAATCCCTTGCTCCTCTTTTGACCAAAAACCTCCAAAGCTCCACCGCGGAAGATGTATATTTTTTCACGTCTCAGTGCAGATCTTAGGCCCAGTTCTCCTACTCCACTCCCTAGATTTCCTAGTGGGCCACGAGTGAGAGTATCTCCCAACCCAATCCTACCAATATCATCAAGCTCACTCTCTCCAATCCCACCACCCGTTGATCCTTCCCCCTATCTCCAATCTCTATCCCTATCTCACCCGTTAGCCATATCCCCCACAAATCAGGATTTCCAACATACCTTCCATCCATTCCACCCACTCAGCATGTCTCTGCGCCTCATCATTTTGCGACAAAAGAATCTTCTCGATAGAAACAATCACCTTCGCCACCAAAGAATCATAACTAGCATTGACTAGTTCCTCGAGAGTAAAAGTTATAAATCCGCAATCGAGGAGTGGAGCTGAAAATTGGTGGGTGGTGAATGCGAGGAGGGGGATGGTGAGGGAGAGGGGGGTTGGTGGAGTCAGGGTATCTTGTGTAACTTCTGTGTGCGGCGCTTCTGAGTTCTTTGGATTTTCTTCGTTTGTGGTTGTGGATGTGTGTGATTCTGATGCGGGTACGACTTCTAACGATGCGAGAGAAAGGGGAGGTGGAGAAGGAAGAGGAAGAGGATGAAGAGAGGGAGGTGACGAGGATGATAGGAAAGAAGAACCTGTAGGGTGGCATGAAGAAGAGGATGATGGAGTAGATGGTAATTGTGATGGGGAAGGGATGGGGATTTGGGGGAGCGAGACTGATTCGATGGTTTGCTTGTTGGGATCAGTGGGTTCGTTGGGTCTGGACATTGTGGATGGAGATGATGAGGATAGAATGGAGATGGAGATGCGAGTGAGGGTGAGGGTGATTATGGGATGGAGATGGGATGGAAATGTAGATAGGATGGAGATGTGAGTGCGAGTGCGGGTGCGGGTGGGTTTAGATGCTGCTTCTTGAGGAAGTATCAGGATCCCTTCAGAAAATTGTAGAGGGAGAGGAACTGCATCGAATAGGTGAGTG